TAACTGCTCTCTTCTCTTTTTTTTTCACTGGTGCTTCTTGTCTTCAAGTCTGCTTGGACAATTTATAGCTAGTAAAAGCTATTTGCCCGTTGATCAACTTTCGATCTTGATCGTTCATTTTGAATTGTAGTTGATCAACTAATATTGTCAACTTGATTTGAAATATTAGGTAGATGTCATTTCTCCTTTTGTCAGATGATTTGAATAATTTGCCCGTTGCCGTTTCTTGAATTTTGTAGCCTCCAGAATTTGAATAAATTCGGCGCGGCAATCTTTGACATTTCTGGTCCTTCATAAATACTCTGACATGTCAAGTTGATCAAATAATTTATCTGCTGATTCTTGCTTGAGTATAAAATAATTTCTCCGCGAATCAGTCTTCTTTGAGCGTCTCCGGTTCCACCGTAAAAACTTGATGTTCAGATGAAAATATATCAGTTATTTTCTCCTTCATGATCCTTGTAAAATAATATACTGGAACCTCTGTAAAAACTTCACAGTTGTTCATGGTGAGATGCTCTGTTTCGAATTTCTAGCTTGGTTCACCATACTTGGTGTGTTTTTCCATATGGTGCATGGCTTTTGTGAGACTTGAGCATTTTACTTAGTCTCCATATTCTTAGCTAGTCTCCATGTAGCTAGTCTCCTTTTTAGCTAGTCTCCAATACGGTTTGGTATACTTTGAGCTAGTCTCCCATACGGTATACGGTCCAATATACTTGACCTTGAGCTAGTCTCCCATACGGTATACGGTCCAATATACTTGACCTTGAGCTAGTCTCCCATACGGTATACGGTCCAATATACTTGACCTTGAGCTAGTCTCCCATACGGTATACGGTCCAAGCTAGTCTCCCATACGGTCAGAGCTAGTCTCTCCTACGGTCCAAGCTAGTCTCCTAAGCTTAAAAATGCTTTACTGAAGATTTGAACTTAGGATCATTTGACATAGCTCACACACATTTCTTCCAACTCCTCTAGCATGGTTCTTGGTGACTTATCCGCATCATAATTGTGTTAAGCTATAATCCCGCTTAACATCTAAAATCAACATGTGATTTTCCAGACTTGTACATGAGTTGCATGATATGGGTGCACCATACTCCGTAGACTCAACCTGACTCAAATAGAATAAAAATGGGGACTACTTGATTTTTCAAAAATGCATTCGGCTCATCAAAATTTACAATATATTCCTAACATTTTCTCTTCAATTTTTTGTTGTTTTTAAGGGAATGAGTTTTTGGAAAACCTTCTAGTTCAATGTTATTTAAGCGTCTTGACATTTACATAATTAATCTCTTTGTTAAAATTGCATTAAGTATAATCAACCCCAACCTATGACAAAGTGAAAGGGGTTTGCTTCTTTTTAAATAAGATCTAACGTTATAAATAAAGAAGCAACATGAGGGGGTCTAAACAGAACTCGAGATTGAAAAGCATTAAATCCACTGGTGTGCATTGTGTGTGTTTTTTTTAACCAGGTTTCTCGTCTTCGCCTACTATATGTTAGTATAAGTTTGTATTTAATATTTATTATGTGGCTTAGAATTGTTGTACTATTCTATAGCCTATAATTTAGGGATCTATTCTTATTGTATCTCTGTAACGAGTTTCTGTCTCAATTGAATCATTCTTTCCAACTCATCTGGTATCAGTTTTGCCAGGACCATCCTCTCTCTCCTCTCATCCAAAATGTCGAGCAATTCGTCGGAGCGTACACCAACAGCCACCACCGTGTCCTCCCCGAATACCACTCCCAACACCCTGAACTCTGCCCACCACTTTGTGTCCCTAAAATTAACCAATCGTAATTACCTTTTTTGGCGTACCCAGATTATCCCCTTTTTACGTGGACAAGGCCTATTAGGATTTGTGGATGGTGCGAATCCGTGCCCGTCTCCCACACTGGAGACTCCGCCTAGCGACGCATCGTGCGATGGTATTACCGTCTCTGTTACGACAAACCCGGTGCATGGTGTGTGGATGCAACAAGATGCGTCGATACTCTCCTTGATAATCTCCTCATTATCTGAGGAGGTTATGCACCTAGCAGTCGGAAGATCAACGGTTCGCGAGGTGTGGATGGCGATCGAAACTGCCCTCGGATCCTCTACGCGTGTGCGGTGTCTGAATCTCTTAGGCCAATTTCAGGCGCTAAGACAAGGCGATAGTACCCCATCGGAGTACCTCGGGAGAGCCCAGCTGCTGGTCGAAGAGTTGGCTCTAGCCGGCCGTCCCATGTCGTTGGAAGAACAAAACTTGTATGTCTTCCGGGGACTGAGGCCGGAATTCCGTGCTATCGCTGCCACTCTCGCCATCTCCGGTAAACCAGTGTCGATCCCCTTACTGTCCGACTTCCTGCAAGCCCAGCAGTTTATCCAGTCCGATGACTTCCCGGATGGTGTTGTGGCTCCGCCGAGTGGATTTCCAGCGGCGATGTACGCCGGTCGTGGCCGGCAGCAGTCAGGTGGTGGTGGTGGACGCCATCACCATGGCGGACAGGGGCGCAACAACAACAATAGAGGGCGTGGCGGACAAGGTGGCCGGGGACGAAGTGGTGCGCCGCGCTGCCAAATATGCCGCGCTCAGGCCCACACAGCTGCGTACTGCCACCGCCGGTACTCAGAACCGCCTCCCGTCGCCGCCCATGCCAATGTCGCTGTTGCCGGAGACGGACGCCAGCCAGCCGACGTGACTGCCTGGTTCCCTGACACAGGCGCGTCGGCGCACGCCACGCCGGACTCCGGGGCGATGGCTCAGATTGATGAATATGGCGGCAATGACGTTCTTCGAGTGGGTAACGGCGCAGGTCTGGGAATTTCTGGTATTGGTCATGCATTAATTCCGTCGGTCTCTAAAACGTTACGTCTGTCTAATATATTACATGTTCCCCAGTTGTCTGTTTCGTTATTATCAGTTAACTGTTTTGCTAATGATAATAACTGTTATTTCGAGTTTCACCCATCATTCTTTGTTGTGAAGGATTGCAAAACTCAGGTGGTACTCCTTAAAGGATTTAGCTCGGGGGGGCTGTACACTCTGTCTGTTCCGAGGTCGTATTCCGCGTTTTTCACGTCCCGTGCGTCGTCTACAATTTGGCATCAACGGTTGGGTCATCCACACAGTCAGGCTCAGCAACGTGTCTTAAAAGAGTGTCCGGTCATACCGAATAAAGCAAATAGTCCAAGTTTGTGCTCTTCGTGTCAACTTGGAAAAGCTTCTCGCTTTCCTCTAGATAGGGTTGCTAGTTCTAGTAATAATATATTAGATCTCGTGTATACAGACATTTGGGGGCCCGCACCCGTTATTTCTGCGGAAGGCTATCGTTATTTTGTACTTTTCGTGGACGATAGTACCCGGTTTTGTTGGTATTATCCTCTGCGCTTAAAAACCGATATCTATAAAGTATTCGATGTTTGGCGGGCTTTGGTAGAACGTACATTTTCACGTTCTATCAAGTCCATCCAGTCAGATTTGGGGGGGGGGGGGGGGGGGAGTATCGTCGGTTACACAACACTTTTGTTAAACTCGGGATTTCCCATAGGCAGTCATGTGCCTACACACATGAGCAAAACGGCCGGGTAGAACACCGAAATCGGCATATTGTCGAAACTGGCCTATCCCTAATGGCCGGAGCCTCTGTTCCACTCAGGCATTGGGATTATGCGTTTGAGACGGCAACCTATCTCATTAATCGATTGCCGTCGTCTGTCTTAAAGTTTGATACACCATTCTTCCGTCTATATAACACAAAACCAAATTACACTTTCCTACGAGTCTTCGGGTGCCTGTGTTTTCCCTATCTGCGGCCATATAATTGCCACAAGATAGAGTATCGCTCAGCCCCGTGTGTGTTCTTAGGTTACCCTCCGTCTTTTAGGGGTTACCGATGCATGGACCTTAATACTGGAAAAACCTATACTTGCCGTCACGTCCGCTTTGACGAGTCCATTTTTCCCATTGCAGCTTCTTCAGCTTTACAGGGGACGACTCGGAGTGTTGAGGCAACTCAACCATGGGGTTCAAGTCCCGTGTTAACTTGGACTGGCCAGCCTGAACCACCCCCGGCTCCGGAACTACCACCGGCTCAGGAACCATCGGCTAACCCAGTTGCACAGGTTCGGGCACCTCGTGGACGTAGGGCTCGTGTGAGACCACAGCAACGGGTCCATGTTATGCGTCTACGACGAATGACACAAGGCACTGATGAGCAATTTCAGGCGCTCACAGCGACCGAATGGCCAGCTGATCCTACCTGCTACACACAAGCAGTTGGTCACCCACAATGGCGGGACGCCATGGACCAAGAGTTTAACGCACTGCTGCACAATAACACCTGGCAACTTGTGCCTGCCACCCCGCACATGAATGTAGTTGGGTGCAAATGGGTGTTCCGGACGAAACGTAAGGCTGATGGTACTATAGAACGCTACAAGGCTCGCCTTGTGGCCAAAGGCTTTAATCAAGTACCTGGTGAGGACTTCTTCGAGACGTTCAGCCCAGTCGTTAAGCCGACTACTGTCCGTATACTGTTGGCATATGCTGTCTCTCGTGGCTGGACTCTACGCCAGTTAGATGTCCACAACGCTTTCTTGAATGGCCGATTAGCTGAAACAATTTATATGCGGCAACCTCCGGGGTATGAGGACCTGGATAATCCGGATTATGTCTGCCACTTGCAGCGATCTCTTTATGGCCTAAAACAGGCTCCGCGAGCGTGGTTTAACCATTTGCATGAGTTTTTGTTACAGACAGGTTTTGTGGCGTCCAAAACGGATGTCTCTCTTTTCCACTATACGGCAGGCACATCCCGTGTTTTCTTGCTAGTTTATGTGGATGACATCATCATGATGGGCGATGACTCTGCCCTAGTTGACTCTCTCCTACAGCGGCTTGCCACCACCTTCAAGATCCGGGATTTAGGGGTTCCTACCTTTTTCCGTGGTATTGAAACGCTACCTACACCGGAAGGGATGCTCCTGTCTTAGCGTCGCTACATGCGGGATATTCTCAATCGTGCCGGAATGTCTGACTGCAAACCGCTAGCTACTCCGGCGTCTGTCACCCAAGCAGTTAGCCAGTCAACCGACCCCTTTGATAATCCGACACAATATCGACGTCTAGCTGGGGCGTTGCAGTATCTCACGATCACTCGTCCGGATCTCTCCTACTCCATCAACCGGCTGTGTCAATTCATGCATACGCCTATCGATGAGCACTGGGGCCTGCTTAAGCGTGTCCTTCGGTACATCCGAGGCACAATGGACTACGGCTTGCGTCTCTCGCCATCTCTGTCTATAGATATCCATGCCTTTTCAGATTCGGATTGGGCCGGCTGTCCAGTTGATCGGAAGTCCACGAGTGGTTACGCTGTGTTTATAGGGTCGAACTTGATCTCGTGGGTCTCCCGTAAGCAGCGTACTGTAGCCCGCTCATCCACTGAAGCCGAGTATAAGGGCCTAGCCGATGTCTGCGCCGAGGTCACCTGGGTTGTGTCTCTTCTCCGTGAGCTTGGCTTACACTCCGGCGCACCAGCTACTCTGTGGTGCGATAACATGGGGGCAACCTATCTTTGTGCGAATCCCGTGTTTCACGCTCGTACAAAGCATGTTGAGGTGGATTATCATTTTGTCCGCGATAAGGTAACATCCGGGGAATACAAGGTTACTTTTGTCTCTACGAAGGATCAGGTGGCCGACATCTTCACCAAACCGCTTCCAGCTGCCCGGTTTGCTATCCTCCGGGACAAGCTCAATGTTACAGCTGGTCACTCTTGAGCTTGCGGGGGAGTGTTAGTATAAGTTTGTATTTAATATTTATTATGTGGCTTAGAATTGTTGTACTATTCTATAGCCTATAGTTTAGGGATCTATTCTTATTGTATCTCTGTAACGAGTTTCTGTTTCAATTGAATCATTCTTTCCGACTCATCCTATATATATCCTAGATTGCATAAATCCGGTCCCAGACTCATGAAAAATTAAATTGAGACAATCTAGTTTCGAAACTTAACACCAAATTGTATACTTTTGCGCACAAGGAACCCAACCCAAACCTCTAATGCTTGTAGCAGCAATTGAATCTCACCCCACCGTGCATCAGTTGTTATACCATGGATCAAGGTCCACTTTACATTATGAACCTTAATTTATAATGACATTCAAATTATATATGTACATTAATACGCAAATTATGCCCTGGAAACGTGTTCACCATGAATGGTGAACACGGGCCCAAACGGCGTCGTTTTTACACGGAAATTTTTTTTTTTTAGTTAATATGCTGTTAACGGTGTTTTGCATTTTATGTTTAGATTATGAATTTACATTTATTAAATTATGAATTTTCTGTTATGAGATTATAAATTTACAGATGTAATTATGAATTTTCTGTAAATTCATAATCTCATAACAGAAAATTCATAATCTCATAAAAGAATATTCATAATTTCATAACTGCACATTCATAATTTATGAGTGTTGAAGAAGCTTGCGCGAAGAGGAAGTGAAACTGCGAAATGTGAAAATGAAGAAGAAAAGTCGCGCTGTTAATTAGAAGAGAGGAAAAAAAATAACAATACCGTTACCGTTGGGATCGTGTTCACCATGGATGGTGAACACGGTTCCCTGGCATAACGATTGGCATTAATATGTACATGCATTTAATAAATTATGGGCCAAAGTCTACTTTACATTATGCACCTTAATTTATAACGACATTCAAATTATGTATCTGCACTGATATGTACATGCATTTAATAAATTAGAATTAGAATCCATTAGTATTTTCTTTTGCAAATTGCATGTATACATCCAAACAGCAATTAATCCAAATTGGTATGCACGCACTCCCTGTCCCTGAACATGGTCCGTACTCTGTGTTTCACAACGAATCCTTTACCAATGGCGCGTTTGGGCTCCATCTGGTCTTCTTACAAGACCACCAACTTTTTTTTTTATTTTTTTTTATTTTATTACCGACTCTATTACAATACAATATCTATTCATAATTAATTTCTCAATCTATTGAAGCACAAAAAATCCTATTATATTTTTTTTTTGTTTTTTCTTTTTTTGTATTAAGATAGGCAAGTTTATTTATTTATTTTTTCTTATCTTGGTATTTTAGTAGAAATTTTTATATTATATAATCACATTACACTAATCATTTCAAATTTGATACTGGTACGTATTTAAGATCCAGTTATTGTTCAACAGAGTTTTTTTGTTCAATAGTGACTATTGTTATTTATTAATTTTTATCTTTCGATTTTCAATTGGATCATAAATAGTTCTTTGGCTATTGATTTTTATCAATTTTAGTCCTCGACTTTTAATTTAATTACAAGTTATCCCTTGACTATTGATTTTTTTTTTCAAATTTGGTCCACTAATTAAATATTATTTTAATAAACATTAAATTTAAGGGTAATAATGTAAAAATTTTAGTTCTTCACAATGATGAATTCAATGTATTAAATTTATGAACTCAACGTGTCCATCTTAACAACAAGCTAATTATTACATTATTATTCTTAAATTTAATGTTTATTAAATGGATATTTAACTGAATGACCAAATTTCGAACAAACCAATAGTCAAGGGACCATTTATGGTCATATTGAAAGTCAAGGACGAAAATTGGTAAAGATCAATGAGCAAATACCAATTTTGGTCCCACAAGTATTAGCAAAATGACAATTTTGAACCACATGCTTAATTCCTAATAATTCTCATCCACGATTATCGTTTTAGTGTCAAAATTCATCACACCGGTCACACCTTCGTTTAAGACATGTCGAAATATGAAATTATTAAGAGTATTTTCGTCCATTTTAAATTAAGATCCCAATTTGAGTATGGATAAAGGGTTTAAGCCCTAAGATCTATCACAATTCGCAGTTCTCCTCCTCAAATTAAGGTAGAATGAGGAGGAGAACTATGAATTAGGATCGATCTTATGGCTTACATCCCCTTATTCATGTTCAAATTGGACTTAAGTTGAAAAGAACGAAAATGTCCTTAAAATTTTTAAATTTCGGTATATCTTAAACGGATGGGTGACCGGTGTGATGAATTTTGGTATTAAAATAATAGTCGTGGATAAAAAGTGGTAGGAATTAAATATGTGAACCAAAACCGTCATTTTGCTAATACTTGTGGGACTAATAATTGATATTTGCTCAAAGATCAATAATTAAGGGACTATTTATGATCCAATTGAAAATCAAAAGATGAAAATTGGTAAATGTCAATAGTCAAGGGACCTTAATTTTAACATTAATCAGAAAATATCGACAACTCATCAATATGTATCATCAGTTTTTACGGTTAAGTTTTGCTTGACAATCTTACTAGGTGTATACATTACCTTTTTGTTTTGTTTTTTTATTTATTTATTTATTTTTTTTTTATTTTTGGATACCTAAAATGGTTGAAAAAGCTTTCGAAAAGTTCGTTTCTAATCGCAAACACTCTATATGATCAAAAAGCAAAGGTTTTGGTAGGGAATACTCCGACCGACATACCTTCGTCCTTTTGCTCTTATTTCTGCAGGTTACAGGTCGGATTTCATAGAAGAACTCGGTCGGTTCCCGACCGGGTAGTACCCGACCTGCTTTGTCGACCACCGATCAGTAGCCCTTAGACGAGAAAGCTAAGAAGAGACACGTGGCAATGCAACGTGCTGACAGGCAGGGCACCCGGGAGGGCGACACGTGGTTGCTACGTGGGCGACATGCCGGACGGCCGGACTTGTGTCTCCGGCTCCGCGGCTATAAATACCCGCGATAGCAACAATGTGGGGGGCTTTTGGACGATCGGTAGGTTGTTGTTAGAAAATCCCGACCGCAGTCAGTCGGTACTCAGAGCAACCACTTAGATTGTACTTAGGGCCTTCACCTCGATCAATAAAAGACATTTAATTGCTTTATTTGGTCTTGTGTTTATTTAATTACCGCATTACTGGCAATTAGTACTATCATTTTGGCGCCGTCTGTGGGGACCCGTGCACGAACGCTAACGTCTTGACGAGCACCCGTCCTTTCTATCACAATGTATCCTTTCGCATACAACCTGTTCGGCGACGATCAAGCAGATGCGGCGAGCTCATCCGATCATCAACCGACCCAGTATCAAGGTCAGACAGTTGACCTCAACCTCAACCTCTCACCACCCCATCCAGCATCTCAGTATCCGGCCCCCCACAGCCGGTTAATTACATCTAGCCGGGATATCCGACACACGGTCCGCAGCAACCGGTATACCCAACACCCGGTCAGCAGCCCCAGTTCCCCGGGCAATACCCTTACCCGGTCCCGCCTCCTCCATACGGGTATTAGCCCGCCCAGCCAACACCACCAGTCGGCTACCCCCCACACACACCTGCGTACACGGCTCCAGTCGCCGCCCCTCCAGTATACCCGACCGCCCAGGTTGAGCTGCAGCATCAGCCCACTTCCCGGGCTCGACGCTCGGCTCGTTCGCGGTTGGGGTCGGGGGGTGCTGATGCGATGGAGGTACCACGGCAGGGCCCAGAAGCACAACTGGAGGTTCCGGCCCAAGCGGAAGACCCAGAGGAGATCAACCGGGCGGCGGCTTTTTAGCGCTTCCGACCGGCGATGCGACAACACTTGGGACCACAAGACCCGAGCCGGCAAGCGGGAGACGTACAGATGCAGGAGGCCAGCCAGGAGGCTTCATCTGGGCACAGTGGGTCGAGATCTCACCGTCGACGACGTGCTCGGGAGGCAGCCCAAGCCTAGACGGTCGAGCTCAACGAGACCCAAGGACTGCTCTACAACCTCCAGGGGGAGTTTGCTCAATTCCGGAGCGAGCATGCGGTGAGACCCCCGATCGACCAGTCGTCCTTATTGAGGACACCCTTTACAGCGGAGATAATGGCCCAGCTATACCCGCTTGATTTGAAGGTCTCGGGGGAGAAGAGTTACGATGGCCGTACGGATCCTGAGGTTCATGTTAATGATTACTACGACAATATGATGATGAAGGGCGTGACGGACGCCGTGATGTGCAGGGCTTTTTACTCCACCCTCACCGGTCGGGCGGCGGAGTAGTTCCGAACGTTGCAGCCAGGGTCTATAGCTGATTTCAATACCCTGGCGATCATGTTTGTGAAGAAGTTCATCACCTCCAAGGTGGTGAGGAAGCCCTATATGTATCTGGAAAAGGCCAAGCAGCTCGAAGGGGAGAGCTTGACCGATTTCCTTGTCAAGTGGAAGGCTGCGGTCGGAGAAGTCGAGCCAATGGACGACGCCACCGCCACCCACATGCTCCACATTTCTCTCCGGGCGGGTTATCTCTACCAGGATTTCACCCTCCACCCCCTGGCCACGTATGAAGAGGCCCTCCGAAGGGTCACAGATTATGCCAACGCCGGCGAGGCGAACGCTGTGAAACGTTCACAGGAGGTCGGGTCTTCATCCCGTAAACCGGCCGGCCGGGCGGAGCATCGGTCGGGTGACGACCATCCCCGATCCCGCACCAGGTCTGGTGAGTTTACGGCCCTAAACCGATCTGCGGCGGAGGCCATGCAGTACGCACAGTCCTGCAATCTCATCAAACTCCCCCATCCCGATCTAGATGGCCCTGACAAGAGTAAGCATTGCGCTTACCATCGATGTGCCGGGCATGACACTGAGGAGTGTACCCACTTGCACCAACTCTTGGAAGATCTTCTCAACCGTGGGAAGTTGGACAAGTGTGTGGGGAAGAGAGAAGAAACAAAGAAGACTACTGATCGGAGAGATTATCGACGA